TTCTTACAGTGTTTGTTTTGTTTTGCTAAAGTAGCCTGTCTTTTCAAGTGCTGAGGTAGGATCTGTTACTCTCTGTGTAAAGATTGTCCCTTAACTAGCTGTCTTTGTGTGCTTGCATCTATATGCCTGCATTTATATTACAGTATATGATATTTCAGGAATATTTATTTAGCATTTAATGCATTAATACTGCTAAAAAATACATCCTTGAGTGTCTGTAAATCTAGTACAAATTAGGGAGCACAGTTCAGATTTCTCCACACTGTGCTGGCAAGTGGCCTCAATCAGAAGTAATTTTCTCCATGAAGGCACATGCAGCTCACTCGTCAGCCACTCCTCAGTAGATACTGTTATTTGTATGAAATTATATGTGGCAGTTTTTCGAAGTGGACTAGGGTGTCCACTAAGCCATACAGATTTTTACCACATTGACTCCATCTTTGCTGTCAATAATTGTACTGGTTTTTTACTGCCTCTTGTTTTACTGCGAAAAAATTTGAGATCGGTGTTTGTATCAATAAATATTCGTGTATTGAAGCAAGTACCAAGCGAGTTAGTAAATTACTCAACCCCTCAAAATCTTCTGTTTTGTACAACACAAGTATTTGCTTGTTTTATAAAGGAACCAGTTTTTTCAGGGCTTCATGCAAAATTCAGAATGAATCAAAGGAGACTTAATTTGCCTTCAGTACCCCTATTTAAGATCGGGAATAGAGATTTTACCTGGTGTGATTGGGAATTCTTAACTGTTTTGTCATGGATCTGAAGCATTTCAACTCTCCTTAGATTACATCACATGCTTTTACAAACTGCTAATAGGAGAAGAATTGCTGAAATGAGAAGACAAACATCTAGACTATCTCTGCAATTAACTATTCATCTAAATTCCTTAACTACTTAAGTGTGAAATTTTACTGTTTTAATTACTGAAGAGTCTAGTCATATGTCAGAGCTGTTTACTGTCAGATCGCTTATGTTGCTGCTCTGGGAATGTGACAGATGAATTTCAGTAGTAGAAATTTTTGGATTTGCATTGCTATGTCATTGTGGTCGTTGTACAGTCACACTTAATCAGCAGTTATTGAAAAGGATTTTTCATCAGAACGGGATAGAACCTTAACTCTGGTCCAGCTGAAATAAAAGCAGACATAGTACATTTTGTGCCATAGGTACTTAATAACATGATTAGTATAAGTAATGGGTGTAATACTATTAAATTAAATCAACAATTTAAAATAAATGCAGAAAGAAAAGTGTGGTACTAAAGTAACTGATTAACCTGTATTCTGACTGTTGAAGGTAATATATCAACATAATAACAACTGTGGGAAAAAAAGCATTATCAGAGAAAACAGTTGAAAGAAACTCTCTTCTTTTTAAAGACTTATTTATTTTTGTCTATATGACTCTGTATTTTTAAGTATTTTAAATCAAGGAAGAAGTTGCATAGCTTTTGTGCAGGTTGTTCCCTAGATAGAGGAGCTAGTAAACTTTGAAACTTTTTTGAAACTTTTTGAACCAGATAAATTCTTAGTTCTCTAGCTGACTTGATTTAGCTCTTACTTGATTTACCTCTTAACAGTAAGAGGTAAGCACATAACCAAATTAGGCAAATATAAGCATGCATAGTTTATGTGTTTGCATTTGTCAAGAATATGTAGTTCCACGTAATCTTTATTTTGAGATTCTTAAAATTTATTTTTTTTAATTTTCTGTTTATGTGCAAGTAATTATATGAACTAGTCAAGAATAGATAATTTAATCTATTTATACTTCCTAGTTAGTGGCTTTGGATTTTACTGTTTTCTTTAACCCATTGTATGTTTGAGTGGTAATTAAAAATGGCCACAGAAATTAGGCATTGATTTCGAGTTCCCATGAAACGAGCAACTGAGAAGTACTTAATTTTGATCTTATTCACCTGGGTTGGTCTTACTCATGTTGAACAATGCCTTACGCTTTAGTTAAAGTTATCAGTTTATAGCTCTCGGTATGAGCTGAATGTATTTGAACATTTAAAAAATGAAAGATGGCTCAACGTGCATAAGACAGAATTTGTCCCAAGGATCAAGTTCCATTTGGGTGAATTAGACAAGGCAGCAGCTGTCTGAAACCTAGGAAAATAATTTATGCACAGATCCTTCAGTTTCAACAAAAGTCATGCTGGTGTTTGAAGCGCAACCTCTAATGTCAGCCCCTGAGGTGAGGTGTTATGTAAAGCTCTGATGTGTGCCCACGTGTGCACTCCTGGATAAACAGCACTGGGTTTTGTGTTTGGGCTGGCACACACAAGGCAAAACCCATTGTAGATGCATGTATACCTCTGATCTCCTTTGGATGTGACAGCATTTACGTTTCCGCTTGCAAATGCTTGGACAGGTAACTTTAGGAAATGTTACATGCCTGTTCATACATAGGATGTATCTGCAGTGACATTAGTCAAGATTTTTTTAGTCTGAAACTCATTTAAAAAATAAAGTCCCAAGCCACAGAATGACAGGAGTTTGAACTGGCTCTGTGGATTTGGCGTGTGCATTGTATTTCTTCTGCCTTCTTGGAAAGGGTGTCAATGTAAATCATAAGGTGTGTTTCCATGAGTGCTGCAAATGAAAGCATACCAACTGTATTTCTGTTCTTTTCCTAATTAACATACAGTGATGGTTAGCTTGCTGATTGCTTACTGGTGACCTGATGAAATAAACTGGTTTAACATCTAGAAACAGACCTAAATGTCATGTACACATGCCAATTGGATTACTTGCAAATAAATTGCTTTTGCTGTATTTTGCAAGACACATTGAAAAAGTCAAATGACAAAGAACCAGTCATGCAACAGGAAATCGACTTTCACTGAAATGTTGGCTGAAGTTTAAATTTTTCCCCCAAATTTAAAATATTTGGAAAATTTATTAAAGGCATATAGCTTCATTTGAAATGATGCAAAATATGGTACTTATCCATCTTTATATGTGGCAAAAATTTACATTTCCCTAAAATAGCATATTATTTGTTTCATTGTGTTTTTCCTTCCTAGTTTATTTATCCAGATGTTACTAGGAGAGCCCACCAATAAATGACTCTACAGACAATGTCACATTATAATAATATTGTGAAATCTAAACAATATTTCTGATAATTTGTGCAGAACCCCTTGTGCTTTCATTTCTGCCATGAACCTGGACACACGTGAGGTGCCTGGACTGCCCATGTTCAGCTGCAGCGCGCTGCTCCAGCCTGTGCTTTGTTCTCTCTTCCGTACAGTGCGATAGCCACTCTCCGTTCCCTGTGCATATGCAGTTGCTGGATTTTTTCCCAGCGTGGCTGGAAGGTGCAATTAACAGTAATGGATACTTTGATAGTGAGAATCTTTATTTCTTCAGCCATAATAATAGCCCCTTATTTTAGGAGCTATATTGTTGAATGACAGCTAGTGTTGGCGAGTGTGTGACCACAAAAGTGGGTTCATTTGGTCAGATTCTCAGCTGGCACAGAGAGTCATATTTCCATGAAAGATAGTAAGCTATATTAATTTATGGAATCCCAGCTGGGAATCTCAATCAATTTCAATAAAAAGTAACCATCATATTCCTCTGAAGCAAGAATTACACAACCTAGCCTAAAGTGAATTTTGCTGTTTTAATAAATGTAGGTAGTCACTGGTTTGTAATAAGTTACATAAAATTAGACTGTAGTCAATATTTGATTTCTTTAAAAATTTATTCCTTCCTTTTCATTGAACACAACACAATCAGTTATGTATTGTATCTCAGCATGATAGATTATATAGAAATAGTGTATTTAATACTGTAAAACTATCATATAAATAAAAATCACATTTTTTTTCATTAGCTAGCTCGCTTTCATTTTGAAGAAGAAATACTCAGTCAATTATAAATGAGGCTGTGCTTTCATTGGAGAGTGAAATATGTAATTTTTTCAAGCCTCAACCATGTATAATGAAATCTCTCCTTTGAAATCCAGTCTTAAGATGGATTTTGAAACATACTGACATTTAATAAAATCTTAGTTAAATTAAAACATGGTCAATTATTTCAAATCTCTATTTAAATCTAGGGTAAAATTCTATACCCTGCACAAGAGATGTCTTTAGCAAATAGTTACTATTAACCAATGATTTTGAAGTGTGTGTGTATAAGAAAGAAGAAATTTTAATTTTTGAGTACATTCCAATCAGTAACCTGGGTGTTTTGTGTTATGTGTCTGTCTGGCACTGGCTCTTTGAGAGGATCTGTAGCAATACTATGTCTAGGTAATTAGAAGAAAAGTCAAAGACCTCAGGCTGCCCTTTCAAATTCAAACTCGTACCCTGCGTCTGTAACTGGTTTATGTTTCTGTAGCCCTTGGCTGGTAGTTTACCACAACATTTGTTTGCCCTCTGTGAAATGAGTGGATAGTCTGTCTGAGTCCTGTCCATTGGCTGGGAGTCCGCTAAAGAGTCTGGCAAATAAATGATTACAGATACCATCGGGGGCTGCTTGAAGCAAAAGCAGAATAAACTGAAGTTTGTACTCTTAATACCTTTGTAGTAATTCACTGTTGTCAGTATTTTTAATTTGATTAACAAAGCCTGTAAAAGGAACATTTTAAGTAGTGTAATTCAGCATCAAAAACAATCACTAACAAACAAGAGAAGGCTCTTCACTGTTTATGTGGTTTTGCAAATATAGCTTTGATTTCCGCTGTTAAAACTGTCTGTGTTTTAGTACTAGAGCCCAATGAATAATGAAAACCCCCTATGTGTGAGTATTATTAATACATATTATTAATGACATTTTGCATATTCTGATTTGAAGTCATCAGGAAAAGTCGCTTTCAATTTCAATTTCCATAAAATGTTATTTGTCCAATTCTAATAAATGCCGAACACTGCCGTGGAAGGAAAACCTAGCTAAAGAACTCCAGTTATAAGTTCACTAAGGTTTTATTTCACACTGTCCTTTTAGATGGTTTTGCCACAGTGTTCCTGGTTCTTTTTAAAGGGCCCCTTGAAGATGCCACTGAGGATGAAGAAGAAGAGTGCCTGTCTGAGGAAAATGATACTATCTCGAAAGAAGACTTTCCATTGGAGGAAAGCTTTTCTGCAGAGTTTGAACCTGAAAATCTGAGCTGTGAAGAAGTGGAATTCTTTTGTAATAAAGGTAATCATTGTAGCCAACCTCTCGAGAGAATACTGGCCAAACTGTGTCCAATTGGTCAAAGAGATTTTTTGGTTTATAATCTACAAAAAGCCCTATTAATATAGTACCTTAATGGGGAAAAGAGTCACTCATAGAGTTAAGTCTGGTAAGAGGTAAATATTTAAGTGTGTTGAAAGACGCTTTTCAGGGATGGGAATTGTCTTGCCTTTAATGTTTTCCTCCAAGTGTTATTTTCTCCATATTTAACTGTAGAGAACAGGCCTCAGAAGTCAATTATCAGCAGATCCGAAGCTAGCAATGCAGCATGTCTGTTCATTGCTTAGGAACAGTGCTCTGCCTAGGAAACATTGCTAGAAAAACAGATTGTGTCTGTAGATTCTAGGATTAAAATAGAGCTTATTATAGAATTTATTATGTATGTAGAAAACTAGTGATTTGTGAAAGGATAACTTTTGAAGTTGCAGATACCTTTTTGGTGCATTTGTTACTTGCAAATTATTGAAGATAGAGGTATTTTAGCATAAGTCACACCAATTCATTCTTACCCAGTGAGAAAAAACTCACTGCTGTGTGCTGTTATTTCAAGCATTGAATTAACCTTCTTCCCATCAGATTTCCACTTGATTACTTTGTTGTTTGTCTTCTGCAGGTAAGGATGCCTATCAAATAGCTGGAGTTGTGGTGGTGGTGTTCTTCTGTTAGTCCACTAATCCCTCAGGCATTTGGATATTGATGATTTCTCTTTCTGTTCTTTCCCAGATATTGACATATGTTTTTTTCATGATAGCTTGATATGCTTCTGGTTTTGTATTATTTTCATCTGTTTTGGACAAAGTCGAATAAATCTATTGGAAGTCAAGTGTTCTGACTGCAGAATATTAGTTCTTCCTACAGAGTCTTCAGTCATCAGTGGGGAAGGCATGACAATGTGTTTTCTACGTGTCCTCTATGTAGCTTACATACTTTCAACAAAATAATTTAGTTCTCCACTACAGGTTCTTGATACTTAGTAAGTCAACCTAAGAGGTCAAAACAGTCTAATCAATAGTTTAGAGTTCAGTTGCTACAAATCTTACTGTGAGGAGAGAACAGATTATGGACAGAAATGCTTTACAAACAGAGAATTTAATACTGTTATAACTGTGATGTGAACAAGTATTACAGTTACTTCGTGTTCACTTGTTCACATGCCTTTCAGACACCACTTTCCTTAGCTGGAAAAAAGTACTGGTCCTACTCTTGGCATTAATAAATAAATATTTAAACCACCATGTGCATAATTGTTATATTGGCGTCTCTTGAATTCCTTCTGTCAGCAGTGGAAGACTATGCACTACTGTCAGTTCATACCATATCGGTTTGATTTAGTTACTTCTCTGTACTTCTCACTACATTTCCAAGGCCCACCAATGGAAAGCACTATGGTTTTGGGTGAAATAAAGAAAAAAATGTGATTTTTTTTTCATAGCAATCAATATTGCAAATTCACGTTGAATTTCAAGTTATCTTGGATCTTCCCTTTAATAAACACATCTTTCAGGGAAAGCACCGAATCCAGGCCATTGTATTAAAGAAGGTCAGGAATCAAAGGGGAATACACTTAAATCTGAATCTTGATTATTATATGTTTTATTAAGAACATCTGCTGATTCTTCAAGCTGAATGCCTTCTGACTTCTCAGCAGTCCTTTTTCCAAGTGTACTGTAGTTAGAAAAGAAGCTTAAGCCTCTCCAGTGCAACTGCTACAGAAGAAAAGTTGAAAAAGAAATTTCTAAGGATCAAGGGGCACATAAAACAGCTAATCTACCTCCAGCAGAGGCAGTGTGATAGAAAGTCCCACTTTGGAGCAAGTTGAGAATATGTCTGGAAAAGGATGGAATGGGAGAGAGTAGAGGTGTGCTGGTTTTTATTAATGTCTCAACTTCTGTTGAGTGTCCTGCTTCTTCAGGGATTCATCTTAAGTGTCATTACCATGAGGTCACCTATATTTTCCATTATAGGTTCCAGAAAGTAAATGTATTTTCTTAGATATAGGTATTATCTGTCCTCTTTCCCTCCCCTGGGGTTTCTTCCCAGCTGACTCAGAAAAAGAGGACAAATGAGTAGTGGGGCTTCCTGCAAGAATCAAGAGGCGTGGGGAACAAGTGGCACAGCTGTTGGGGAGGTGCTGTTTGTGAGGCTCCATCCATGGTATCCTTTTTGTACTTAGCCAGCTATATAAATTCAATTATCACCTAAAACCAGAGGCTTTTAACTATCCAGACTAGGCACAGAAGGCAAAAATTTACTGAACTCACAATTCTTTCAGAGGAGTGAAAGTAGAGGACGTTCAGGTTCACAACTTGGTAACTTTGGCTTTTTGACTGAAGAGATTTTCCTGTCAAACTGTGCCTGATTGTATTATAAGCAGAGAGCAGTCTCTTACTCTCTAAATTGCAAACAGCTAACCTTTATAAAGCCATACTTGTCATTCCCACCTTATTAATTTGGGTTTGTGAGATAGATTCAGCAGAATAGTTGCCAGAATTAGAAAGTGGAGGCGAAAGCCTCGGCAAAGTGTGAAGCAAATTAATCACATTGATTGAGCTACATGTCATTTTACAACTGTTCTCAGGTTTCAGAATTTTGACTTTTGGCTATTACTTTTCTCCTTTTGCTCATTAATGGCTTTTGCAACAAGGAATCTGGAAAATTTCTCCTCTTCCACACTTCTGCCACACCACAAATCCACAATTAACTTTGCTGCATTCCTATGTAGTCCTCCTTTACACTCAAATGTGAAGAAGTGAAGAATTTTTAAGCATATAAATATTCCAAGCTAGAATGGAAATTACTGACCTACTATTTGCCAAGGATTGTTTTAAGCTTCCAACTCTATTTTTTTTAACCTTTTGGATGAAGAAGAGCCTCATAATAGATGGCACTTAAATTTGATTTGTTTGCAATTTTGACAGTGAGATTAGGGGAAAGGGAATATTTTGGAAGTAGCAATAATAACAACACAGTCATGGTGTTCTTGTACTACAAAGCTGCACTGGTCTGTATCTTCGGAGTAGAAACAAAAAATTTGCTAGAAGGTAGCCTTGGTGATAGTGCATTACATTTTTTCAGTTTGAAAACCGCCTTTGAAATCTGCTGTTTATGCTTAGTTACTACAAATTGATGTACTGCCAATAAAGAGAGTATCTGATGATGCTGTCCACACAAAGCCTGTAGTAGCCTGAATTCTCCCTTACTGATTTTTTTTTTTTTTTAATGTCCAGATAGTGAGTATCTGGAATCAGAATCTGTATCAGATTAAGATTAATTTGGATTAAATTCGGATCTAGAAGATTTATTAGATAAATGCCAGTATTTAAACATTCTGAATAAGGAGAAAGTAACCTGTCTTCCATGCAGAGAAGTGATAGACTAGATGGCTGAAAACCTACTTTGGAAGCTAGGAGGTAGTACATACAGATTAAATTTTGTCTGTTATAGGTTGGAATAAGAAAATGAAGTAATGCTAACAGAGACAAGAGAAGAAGTGAGCTGGAGGCATGATAGGGCTAATAATTTCAGAAGGGCAGATAGAAGGAGGGGGCACGAATGGCAGAACAATGCAAAGGCCAAGCTGAAGGTGATGGGATGAAAAGCAAAGTACTAAATCAAGCTCATCTGAGATGTGAAGTAGTTTATCTTTGGTTTTGTAGTCACTGATTGCTGTCATCCTGCCTAGATACCCTCAGGAAAAATAAAAAAATACTCTGGTCTGTTTGCCATATGGTGGTGACGCCTTTTCCTCTCTGTAAAGAGCAGGGAGAGTAGGAGCCATGGCTACTTCATAGGGGTGGCAACTGACTAAACAAATTATAGTTCCTAGGAGATGTGTTCAATGAGGGATTAACTTTCAAAGGAAAAGTTATCTTGAGCAATGAAAGAGATCACTTGAAATTAGTAGATAGTTAAATAGCTGTGTTCAGAGAAGGAAAGAGGCAGGAGAAGAAAATAGAGGAAGTCTATAATCAAGAGAGAAAATGGGGCACTTTTGCCAGGAGAAAGAGGCAAATGAAGGAGCATACATATCTTGTAATTAGAGAGAGAGGGCGCGTCCATTTCTTGCTGCCATGCTTCCCAGGACAATTTTGTCAGATTCTCCTGTTCTTTGCTTATAGCATGGCTGTTGCTCTTGATCCTCCTGTAGGCTTTCCATGGTACTTCATCATGAGACAGCGTTGGCACCAGCCCTCAGTGGAAGGAGATTCAGTGGCCTTAACACTACTGGTGATAGATTGGAAAGCAAGCAGCTTTTGCTTCCCAGTACCAACTGTTCTTCAGTTGGTGACGTAGCAAGATACGGGGGATACATGAGGTGGGATGGAGACTGATTGTTTCATGATGCAATGCTTTTAGAATCCATAGCATGAATGCTAGGTATGCCTGTAGTGATGTATGTCTGTAGCCAGTTGATATGTGGTTGCAGTTCCTGATACATGGGTTATGTTTATTTGTGAGTGAAGAGGGGGATAAGGGGAATCCAGTGCAGTCTAAACCTCATATACAGTTTTAAGTCAGCAAGAAGAGGACTCCAGGAATTTATGGCCTGTATATTGGGTGCATACCTGCTTCTGTATTCTTGTATTCTACTTGGACACGAGGCGATGAGCTCAGAACCTGAACCAAGTTTTCTGCTCATGTACAGTATTTTGTCACTAGCCTGCCAAAGCAGCTTAGGACTAGAATTTTTTATGTTAAACCATGTGACCTGATTGTGCAGCCAGGCTTGAGATTCAGGGAAACAGCTGCAGTGTGATTCCTCATATAAGAAAGCATATACAAAGCTAAGTTCGTCCGTGTATTAATCTTTCCCTTCATACTTCATGTGCAAAGCTATCATGCTATCATCTATAATACCAACCAAACTCTTAACACCCTGAAAATGATTTCTCTGTGTCCCTTTTTCCTCTGGAGTATGATTTTGTGTCTGTGTGTATGGCTGTGTGCATCTGTGTAAATATTCT